GTTAAAAAAATTTTTGTCTAAAAAAAGTACAGTTTTAATCTCGCATTTATTTACACATGTGACATTGCTATATAGACAAGCCAAGCAATGCATTGGATCCCATATTATATTTTACTCTAAATTAAATGAATTTAACAAAAAGTTGATAGGATTAATAATTTAGAATCTGTATAAAGAAAAATTTTTGACTTATACCTATTAATGCGTATAAAAATTGCTGTATAGAGATGTGAAACATTTGCTTCGTGATTTTTTTTTAATATTAAATCGAATAAAATCAAAATTAACTCATAAAAGTAATGGAGGTTTATGCATGAAACATAGTTTTTAACTTGAACCCTTTTCGGCATAAATCTGCCATAACTCCAAATATTTTAGTTCTATCAACTTAATTTTCCTTTTATTGAATTTAGCAGGAAGAAATGTATAAGGAACAAAGCTCAACTAGTCTCTATAGCAAAATCAGACGCATATATACTTTTTGAGCATAAAACTGTACTATTTTTAAATTTTTTTTTTAACTATTAGCCCTATTGGCATGAGATTCGGGCTCAAATGTTCTTCATTTTTTTTCTTTTACTGCAATTCGTAGGACAAAAAATAAGATAAATCTCAATACTTAATTTTAAACGTGCATTTGGAATGTTATTACGAAAGCCTTCTCTAAAAATATATCGAAACAATCATAGTATGAAGATAAGGAAAACATGTAATACAGTTACAAAAACATCTGACAAATCCCAGACATTTGCTGTTTGTCGCTATATTTTCCGCAGAAAACAATAAAAAAGGAATATTGCAAATTCTTATACCATTTTGTTCTCTTTTACACTCATTCAATTCGAATTAAAGAATCGTATAATTATCTAAACCAAACATTCATATTGGTATACAGTGTTTAATTGAGAATCAAGATACTACAAAGAACATATTTTTCCCCACAAAAATGCCTAGAATGTTTCATTATTTCTGACAAAAAACAAAACTATAACAATTCCATTATTTCTGACGATGACATCTGAACTGCTAATTATAACAGCGGGGTATTCTTTAAGCAACTTCTTTGCCTTCAAGTCTCGTAATGGGTAATCCACAATACTCTATTTTCCAAACTCTGACTAATCTTACCATAAGAGTTTTTCGTGTCATAAACTGCCTTAATCAACCAAAAAGCTGCAACAGTTTTAAACATATCGTCTGCTCTTTCTATCTATCTCGTTATGCTGCACTAATTTATTGCTTGTGCTAGCCTCTAAAAATTGTTCTAGATGATTTTTACTTGGGAGAATTTAGCTTTGTTTTTATGTAAACGGAATTAATGTGTAAAAATACGATTTTAAAAGTGTTGCGAATCGAAACATTTCAAGAAAACTGATAATGTTAAGACCAGATTCACTACTCGTCAGTTTCTTTACGTGGAAAAGACTGTTCTTCTACTCGTTTTTTTTAAATGTAAAATTTATTTTCACATAACTTTCTTCAAAAATATTTTACTTAACTTTATTTTTTTCACATTTATTTTGTTTTCAACTAATTAATAAAATTTGTTTGTATTGAAAAAAACTAACACATACTCAGGGCCCATGCTAAAGATTTCAAATTTTTAGCAAGTAAATCAGTCAAATATCAAAAGTATTGGCCAATTTCCGAAAGTCTTCACCACATGCAAATTTTAACAGTTTTTATGGTTAATTTTTTTTCCCATAGAAAAACTATTTTACTGTAGTTTTTTTCAGGCTTATATAATTTGGACCCAATTCTAATTAGTAATTGCGTCACATCTACCGAAAATTACTTTCATCGAATAAAAAATACTGATTAACTTAGAAAAATTAGTTTTGACGTAATTTTAACCTTCTATTTGAAAAAATCATTCGCCAACACTTTCGCTAAAACACAACCTTATTCACCAAATTTACGATTTTATTACATTTGGCGAGGTGGCGAATGCTTAGCCTGGGTTCTGCATATTTATACTTAAAAGTTAACATAACGTATGTTCGCCCTTAATTCAGTTATTTGTATCCGATTAATTTCGACAGATAAGTTACACTGGCCGAAGACTCCCCGTGTAGTAAATGGTGACTGTTACGTTAAATCTGTCGAGTCTCAAAGTCCTCCATGTTCCCATCACAAATCAATACCTCTGGGGNTAGAACCCGACACTCGAAATTTTTGCTCTGTTACAATCGTACCCTGTTACAATTGACCCCACTCTCCCCTACTGATTTGCTCAGAAAAATTAATTTTGACGTAATTTTAACCTTCCATTTGAAAAAATCATTCACCAATACTTTCGCCAAAACACAATTTTATTCGCCAAATTTACGATTTTATCGCATTTGGCGAGGTGGCGAATGCTTAGCCTGGATCCTGCATATTTATACTTAAAAGTTAACATAACGTATGTTCGCCCTTAATTCAGTTATTTGTATTCCATTAATTTCGACAGATAAGTTACACTGGGGCCGGGATAGCCTGGTAGGTAGAGCACTGGGCCCAAGTCCAGGAGGTCGTGGGTTCGATCTCAGCCGGCCGATGACTTCCCGTGTAGTAAATGGTGGCTGATGTACACTAATTCTGTCGAGGCACAAAGACCTCCATGTTGCCATAACAAATCATACCTCTAGGGGTAATGATCCAGGAGTTTCCTTGTCTTCTGGATTGGTTCGAAATTACGAGGCTACGGAGTTGAACATTAGTAGTCGTAAACCCAAAAATTGGGTTGGCTGTTCAACGATGGATATATAGATAAGTTACACTTATGAGTTTTGATAGGAAAGACAGAGAAATAGAAACTAAAAAAAATCAAGGTTAGACTTCATGTTACTGGATATGGATTTGAGGATGCATAGTCTTGTATAGCTCTTGTTACCCTCAAATTCCCATTTAGTTCTATAAAATTATAATCACTTCTAAAATAGAAACGGTATCTAATCTATGTAAATACCTCTTGTATACAAATTACTAACTATCTAAATATGAAATTTTTAAGTAAGGTTGACAAATTTCTTGTGAAATAAAGTCTTTTTATTTGCTACGCAGTTAAAATAAATGTTAACCTAATCAGGTCAAATATAGCTTCTCTTTCCACGAACAGCAATCGCGTCAAGAAGTTTCATTTGTATCCGACCAATTTCCACAGAAAAGTTACCACTTCTGATGGGAAAGACAGACAAAAGGAAACGAAAAATGATCAAGATAAGACGTTTGTACGAGACAATAATAGCAGTAACATGTCTATGGGAGGGGGAAATGAGAAACCAAAGAAATGATAGGAAATGATTCAACTATTTCCCTTTCAAAATTAAGAAATTGTCTTCTATTTGATCAAATCCAATAAAAGGAAACAAGAGAGAGCATTGAGGTTTTTGAAAGAAAATGAAGTTAAAGGTTGTTTCGGTACCATTTGTTCTCGGAATCAATAAATATTAAATGAAGAAAATATGTTTCGATACATGTTGAGGAATAAAGATACGCATTATTCAATGCCGTAGAATGACGTTTATCCTTTAACCTCATGAATTATTTAAGAGGATAAAGTGTTGTTAGAATTTGATAGCTTCAAATGTATTTATGGTAGTTGATAAATTGATAATGTTGAGGTTGATTTCTTTTTCGGCAAAGAGTTTAGCTCTTGTTCTGTTATCTGTCATTGCACAAATAGTTTTACAAGAGAATTTTTCTTGTCGAATTGTTAGTTTTAATGATCAGTGTTTTTGTAACATATATTGATTTTTTTTACCATATTAAACCTACACTCACTAAAACCTTAATCACAAATGAATTAATGCGTTTCCATAAAGACATCGGATTTTATATCCTGATTCAGTTTTAATTTTAAGTTTTCTCAGTTTTAAACAAATTGCTTCCGTTTAAAGCAGTTACTTTATTTTTACCAAATTGCTTAAATTTCAACCTAGTTTTAAGCATGATATAACCAAAGAATGTTCGTAAGTGAAGAAGGATAGGTTCAATAGATAAAATGTAAACCGGTCCCCCAAGTTCTGGTGCGGTCCCTGTGTATAAAAGAAAAATCAACATTTATTAGCAAAGCAGTAGAGGTTTTAAATTTGTTTAATCCATGATACACATGTATACAATCCTAAGATTTGATGGTAGTGAAATTTTTGATTACCACAGCTAGATCGAGGTTTGGTTACCTGAGGTTAAAGACGAAATGATTATATTCAATATTAAAAAGAATTGTAACTCATGAATCCAGTGATTATTTCAATATTGCCCTTCTGAACATTTTTTTACCAATAAACTTTTAACAACCTATTGGTATAGGCTGGATGGTTAATAGGATTGTACTTTTTACAATTATGTCATAGAAAGTTGTAACTCACTTTTGTGTGTTGTTAATGGCAGTTTCGGAGACGTAAAAGTTCATTCACTATTGGGTAGTTGGGGTGCATACTGCGGAGTTCGGGGATATTACCACTGTTTGGTCTTTAATTTTAGTTGTGTAAAAGTAGTACACTTAAGCGCCAATTTCTCTTCAGATCAATCCCTGATATAACATTATGCATACCATAGTATTATCTATGCATATTGTGCAGCACTAGTTTGACGTTAATAGCTAAACTATATAGTAGGTGTGGAAAATTTAAAAAATATTTCTCGAAGGAAACTTTAGAAAAAAAAATTGCATTAAGATGCCCAGTTCGCAATTATTTATTTTTTTAAATTAATTTGTTGATTCGTCGTCTGTGTTCAGCACGATAGCACAGCTTATTTATTATAAACCGAAAAATCTTCTTTAGAGCGATTTAATTTTGAATAAAAAATTATTAAAAGATAACCTTTCATTGGATTAAGACCAAATTTATTGTTGACGCATTGTAAATCTGTTTTATTATCATGAAATACACAAAAAGCTTGCAAGAAAAAAAAACATTCATGTGCTTAACATATGTTTTTAATGTTTTTTTTCAAAATCTTTTCCTTGTAAACATACTATAAATGTGGATGAAAACATAGATTTTTTTAATCGAGAAAAGAAAAACTTGCACCTTTTTCAGCAATTATGATTTCCTCATTTCAAATTATTTTCTTTTGCGTTACTTTCTGCGTAGGTAGATTTTTTAAAAAAAGTTCTTAACCTTCATGAATTAAATTTTTTTTTAAATGATGTCTCTCTTAGAAATTAAATACACATTCGGATATGGTATAAGAAATTTATGAGTAATTAACCTATTAACACATGAATTTTTTAAATGACGTGATTCAATAAAATCTCATATTAAAAAAATGATTTATTTTTGTTTAACTAAATGAATATTTTCTTTTGTTAGCTACTATAGTGGATATTTGTAAAGAATAAAAAACATTTCCTTGATGCGAAAGTAGTCCATTTCAGATCAAAAGAATTGTCGTACAATTCTTGTAATTCCTACCTATATGTCACGCTAGGTCAAAATAGGTTTATATAATTTTATAAATTATTAAAAGTTTTGTGGCAAATCTTTAAATTAATCATTATATATATATATTTATGAGTTTTTTTAAATGAAATTATTTATTGCGTATTAATTAGCTTTCCATGTAGTGCAAGAAATTCATTTGTTTTACTACATAGGTTGTTACAAACGCGTTTGATGCTGGTAAGTTGCAACCTTTAACTCCGTCCGAAGAAGAAAAAGAAATATGCAAAGACAACGCTTATGGAAGAGAAATAACATTCATGTACAAAGTGAGTAATCCCGCAAAAGATTTATTTGCATTTTGTATTACAAAAACATGAGAGGCTCTCTCGATACAAACTTTCTATCCTATCTTTTTCATATTTAAATATTTATTTAGCTGATGGACATCAGATTGATGCATGATATGTAGCAAAATCTCTCATACGTTACCATTTGCAAGTAAAATCAAAGAGACATTATATGCGATACCCTTTTCATTCAAAAAAGTAATTTTTTGCCGCAAAATCTAGACATATAGAGAGATGCACCGCCTGGTCTGCTCTGAGGGGCCTTTAAACAAAATTGTTATTTAAAATTTTCGAAACAACAAGGTACAAATCCAAGTTCAAAAACAAATGCAAATTATCTATTGATTTAAAAGCAAAGGTTTTTTTTTTAAAAAAAATAAGCAAATTTTAAGGTTAAATAAAATACATGAAATCCGACACCAAGTTAATTTATTTCATCTTACGAATAGTCTTGCCATATATATAAAAAAAGTTGAATCATATGTGTACTTTGATTAATGTATCAACTCCTTCTTCGCGATGGACGAAAAAACTCGTCTTCCAGAAATATCCAGTGTGTGCTAGGGCTGCGATAACTCGTCCTCTAAACTTGACACTAGGATTTTCTATATTATTGCAGCGTGTCCAGCGACTTATTTATCAACATTGCAGCGCATTCAAGTCTATTATTTTTTTGTTTTTACAGCATTTCTGCAAGAGGGCGCCAGCAGCACAATTTTTAGACTCTTTGTGATGTTTTCTCTGCAGATTCGATTTTATTTTATTATTATTTTTATTTCATTATTATTATAATATCCTCCGGTAGAAATAATGATTCTTGCAATTTATTATAATTTTTTTAAATAAAATTGACAAGGTTTAAAAGAATTTGAGTTTTAGAGTGTGGGGGAACTCCTTGTACAGAAGGTGGGACAAAAGTGCGCCATTGCCACGAAGAAAATGTTATAAGCCAGTGTATTTAATATTCATTTTAAATAACGATTTTTATAAATTTTTTTAAAATCATTTTTACTTTCTTTTTTGAACTTTTTTACTTTTTTATCACTGAATTAATTTTCTCCCTGGTGGACAAATAATAAAACGTTATGAATTCTATTTGAATTTCTTAATTATTTTTGTATGCATTAATTTTGTGCGTATCATTTAAAAAAATATCTTGTTCAAGTTTCAACTGTTATTTTCGCATTTCTGTTTTTGTATGTACATTATTAAAGCAAATATTTTTTTCATCTTTAACAATATTTTATCAATTTCGATTCTTATCGCATGGCAAATATTATATTCATTGCAGGCTAAAATAGAGAATCACAATAAAAAGTTTGTTTTTAAAAGGTTTTAATACTAAATCTCCGTACACTTATATTTAACAGAAAGTTTGGAACACATGCCATATTCAATGTTTGTATGAAGGTGAGAGTAAAGCTGAAGCATTTTTCACTCCTGACGGTCAACTTTGTTGCGATATTGTAGGAATAGGACCGACTGGGGTGAGTGTGATAAACTTTTATTACTCATACTTTTACATTATATGGTTATTTTAATAAAATGCATAATTTATTATTTAGGATACAGTTTAGAATTCGTCGCTATACACAGTAAAAAGCAGCAAATGGGTAAAATTTTCTATCATAATTAAAAAGGCAGACGATAAAAAAAAAAAAACTTCAAATGTAGCTAGATTAAAATTATAAGCATGTACATTATTATTATCTTAGTGAATAATAACTTAGCAAGTGTATTGACAGAGATCAGAAATATACTTATCATTTTCATAAGAAATGGAATTAATAAAACATATATCCCCAAGAAAACTGAAGCCAAAAATATATATTGAAAATTTATCTTTTTCATAACTAAAATACTAAGGGTGATATGTATCGAACACTCGACCACGACGCTCCTCGGCAGGACGACAAATCGTCAAATGATTGAAAAGGAACAGATTTGAAACAAAAAAGGCACTTTTACCAACGGAAAAAATAATAATGAAAGAGGCTAGAGAAACCTTGATAGTTGATGGAACGATAGGAGTTTAAAGTAGAGTACATTTTCATCAGAACTCGCCAGAATTTGAAATCAAGGTAGAATATCTTTTCAGATGCTATTCACGACCCTATTAGATTTTTTCATTTTCTATATTGCCTTTTCTTGTTTGTTTTCATCATTCACTTGTTGTCAACCTGAGGAGGAGCGTCGTATTCGAGCGCTCGAAACATGATGTCTTATCATGCATTTCAATTATGAAATGAAAGAAGTTTTCTGTAGTCAAGAGTTAATACATTAAGTCTTACACGCGCAGCTCACCGCGTTTAATTTAAATCACGAATTGCTATCCATCCTAGTTTCCAACAGATTCCTAGACAATCTAGTATCTAATTTACTAACAGAACCCTTCAAGGGATTTAACACTTAAAGATTAAAGTCGTGGAACAAGTATTTTCACATAAATACTTGTTCCACGATCCTTTATTACTTTTTTCCCCTATTTTTTATTTAACATTAAATTTAACAACGTATTTAATTCTTTTTCATTTGTCGATATGTTTTAGCAAATGTAATGTTAAATCGGTATTGACGCTTTACTTTGTATTTAATTTTTTTATTAGAGTTATTAGACAACATTAACAAACTGACTATTGAAAGATTCATGCAATTAATAAAAATTATTGCTATTAATTTTTTAATATTACTTTATTCGACTTGATTAATGATATTATTAAAGAGCGTTTGTACACGTCCGTTTAGATACTATATTCGAATAATATCATTAGTATCCAGGCAATATAAGTGAAGAAATAATACAGAAATAGTGCAGAATTATTCTGGTAGCTCCAGGGATAGAGCGTTCACCTGCTATTCAGATGACTCAGGTTCCAATGCCAGCTTTGGCTGGTTCATAAAATATTTATTCACGACTCGCATTGATCATTCCGAGCTGTGGTTTTTCTCTACGTGTAACGCAAACACGAGTTAGTTCCATCAAGTGTTCCTCCACGATGGCTAGCTTGCCCCAATGATTGATCCAGGAGTTCCCTTGTCCATTGAATTGAGCTCAAAATTACATGGTTACGGAGTTAAATATTGATAGTCGTAAACTCAGAATTAGGTCAGCTGTTCAATGTTGGTTCAAAAGTAAAATAAAATGAAACAAATACATTTTTATGTTTTTTCAAAATATTTTCCGCTACAATTCAGTTATTTAAAAACTTAAAAACTGAGGAGCATGTAATTTAATTTTAATGTAAGTTTCAAGTTATATTTTAGATTTAAAGATGTATTATTTGGAACACTATTTCGGTATGTTGTATGATATGTTCCTTCAAAGGTAAAGTTGCATGATGTGTATTATGATTGGTAACTGGAAAAACAGTAATATAACAAGTTTCATAATTTATTTACGTTGACTTGAATTAATTTAAATGAGTAATTTCACGATGTTCATTTAAAAATTAGAAGAACGATATTTGGTTCATACAAAAGTTCTTACATTTAAATTAAGTATATGCAATATGTAAGTAAGCTCTGAAAGCTAATTTTCTCTTATTCTTTCTCTTTCAGAATTGCTACAATGGCAAATGTGTGCCTTTTTGGAGACAATTGGCTGAGAACCTTTGAAATAATTTTCAATGAATATACAACTTAGATTTTTAAGATTGATTTGTTTTTGAGAAATATTTTGCGTTTTTTCGTTTTATATACAATTTTATTAAACAAATATATTTTTAACCATGTATTCAAGAAAGTCCAATAAAAATATTAAATAATAATGTTGAGAAAAATTTAATATCAATAAATAACATAAAAAATTCAAAATAAAAAATTATATTTTTAAAAACCACGTTCTTGTAGTGGAGAATAATAATTTAAAAAAAATTTGAAAAACGAAATGCGTGGGGTGCATGAAATACATAACAGTAATGTTATATTAGTGTGTGTATGTGTGCTCTTGAGAATATGTGCATGTATATCTGTAATTGTATCTGAATGTGGATGTGGAATATGTTTGAGTATATGCATATGTATGTGGATGTATATATGGCTGTGCATGCGTATGAGTAAGAAAATGTGTAGATATATGTGTATATGTACTGTTATGTATTTCATGCACCCCACGTTTTTCTTTTTCAATTTTTTTTTATTATTATTCTCCACTACAAGAACGTGGTTTTTAAAAATATTATTTTTTATTTTGAATTTTTTTATTTTGAATTATAATTTTTTTTAATTTTTAATTTTTATTTAATATTTTTTAAAAATTATTACTTTTCCATTATTATTCTTCACTACAAAAAACGTGGTTTTTAAAAATATATATTTTTATTTAGATTATTTTTCTTAGTCAAGAGTAGTCAAGACTACTACAAGACCACTACTAAAATAATAGAACTTTCATTTTAAATTAGGGATACAAAAATCTTTATAGAAAAACAATACCTTTACGACTTTCATTAGTTTTATGCTGATGACAACCAAAACAATCTGGAAATGAATGAGGAAAAACTGGATCCTACCACGTGATTTTTCAGCCAATAAAAATACTCCGACAATAAAAATCTTTTCACCTGACATGTAATACTAATTTGAAATAATGGAATCGACAACAAAAGACAATCTCGAAAATATTTTTTTTTTAAATTTCAATTTTATTTTACTTTGTATGTATTTTTTCTCTTCATTTTCATGCATTGTCATCCAATTCTGAACTATGTGCCAAATTTGAACTTTGTAGCTAGTCGGGAAGTTAGTTTAAAATCGATTACAAAATTCCACCCGGACAGACATACACGAAGGCAAGTTTATATAAACGTGGTAATAATAATAATAAAATAGATGAAGTCGCATTGTAATTGAAAAACAGCTTTTTGAGATATTTAAACCAGAAATTCACATTACTAACAAAAAATAAATAGTGGCAAAATATAAAATAGCATTAAGACTATATACTGAGAAAAAAATATTCTGGGTAAATTACTATACTGCATAGCAATAACTTTTCTAATGAGAAAAGGATCACGATTCTGGTAATAAGACAAAAATATAGGGTATTTATAAGCCATTCATTGGGTAATTTATTCGTTCATATGGTAAATATGTATCGCAAATCTGGGTTTCAAAATAATAGTTCTTAATACCACACATTCATTAAAAATAAAAAAATAATAAGTAAATGACCTTATAAATGGTTTTTACGTCTTGCGGTTTTAATCTTGATGCCTTATATCCCCTAAAAGTTTGTCACAACATTTACGCTACCCCCCGTTAAAAATAATTTTAAACTTTTACATTTCAGCAAAAAATAGACTTAAAACGACATTTAAAAAATTTGCAACTTTAGGAGCAAAACTAATTCAAGATTCAAAATTCCCGTACCCAAATTAGGCAAGATTAAGCATTTGTATGAGTACAACAGGAAATTTGTTCCCTAGTGTAACTCATCATATGGATAATTTCACATAAATAAATATGCAGATCAATTATTTTAATGAATTGCGCGATTGCACAGTGGGTTTATAATGCAGGCAATATAACACCAGTATTCAACAATGCGTAACAACAGCATTCCAGACAAGAAAGAAAATCATTTTATCGTATAGATATTACATAACCAAAACATTATTTTAATGAGTATCTATCATTTACAAAATCAATCATTTGTGTTATTTGAATAAGCCCATCATTCTAACATTAAGCAGAGAATTAATTCAGAAGGAAAGATTAAGAGTTTGAATAGTTATTCATATTCATATTTTCAAAATAATTGTAAAAGAAAGTGTTTATCACACAAGAAAATTATAGAAATCTTTTTTTAAAAAAAGATAATTTCACTATTGTGAGCAATTATTAATGATGCAGTGATTTTTTTGTTGAGTAAAATATATGAACATTAATGAATGTTACTCTAAAAACCATTATGTCATAGCTAATGATAGGATATAATTACACACGGAGAACATATTTTCTGATTGTCTGGTTTTTCTCTTAGATGAATATCTAAGTATTGAAAAATGAGAACGTTTTCGTAATATTATAATGAATATGTATCGAAAATTGTGTAAGGCAACAGGCTGAAACCAATTAAATGTAACGGGAGGCTTTCGAAATTGTTTCATGTTTTTCATAATCCAGTAATTTCGCAATAATTAAAAAATGTGCTTTTAAGTTAAACATTTTATCCATAGTAAAAATTTCAAAACTTAAAGATACTGTATTTTTTTGCAAATTAATAATTATATTCTTCGGATTTGAACAGAAAATTAAGAAATCTAAGTATGAATGTGGTTTACACATACACTTACCGGATGTCTGAAAGAGATTAATGATTCGAAAAATTCATGGAAAAAAAACCGAAAGGAAATATAAAATACCGGTTTTCTACGTTCTGCTTAGGAAGCAAATTTCTCATGCAATTACAAAATTATTTACGACGTTAAACAGATAAATTTGATGACTAAACTGTAAACATTATATTCTGCTGAACGAATTCCATCCCAGATGAAATATTAGTATAGGTTTTTGTTAAACTTGTCTTCAAATTATTGTTGCATTAAATACTTATTTTGGCTTCATGTTTATATCAATGGTTTCAAAATTTGTTTTTATCTGTTAGCAGAGCCATCTGTTGACAAAATTTGTCATTAATTTAGAACCTTATAGAAAAAATATCTGGTTTTCAGTAAACTTGTCATTTCTAGCTACTTTCGCTGTTTTGCAATTTAATTTTAACTCACTTTAATTTTTGTTAGCCATTTTTAGAAGAACTGATAAGTACCATAGAAAAATGTTATGGAACATTAAGATATAGAGTAATAGTTGGGTGATTAGGGTCTCCAAGGGCAAAAATAGGCAAATTTTAAAATCAGTATTGAAATAACTTCGTCGGCACGGTTTATATTTATGGCACTGCTTCAAAATGTGTTTCACAATTGTTAGATCATTGCATGTGGCACATAATGGCCCTTTTTCATTAAATAAAAGGCGTATTTAACGAAACTGGTATAAACAATATAAAAATGTCAAAATGTGTTTTACAATTCTTGGATCATTGCATGTGGAACATAATGACACTTGTTCTTAAACAAAAAGCGCATTTAGTGAGACGAGTATTAGTAATTTGAGCCCATTAATTATAACTTCATATAAATAAATTACAACGGTAATTATATTAAAACCATAAAAAAACATTTAATGCGTTTAGGAACTTTTTAATTTTCAGAACTGAATCAGTCATATTATGTATGTTTCAAATCCCAGAATAAACTTTATTGTTGTGAACCAAAAAATACTAAGTTTTATATAGTTATTCATAAAACCATGATAATGTTTTACATTTGGAGACTGAAAGTAGGGAAGTTTTTCTGAAAAAAAACATATGACCGAACACGGCGATATGGTATGTTGAGGTATAATATCACTGGTAACATGCTTTATTTTTAACTTTAAATTCTTTTTAGCTTATAAGATATTTCATGTCAGATGGAATACTATTTTATCAGGACTTTTTTTTCCCAAGAAGAGGGTATTTCTAAGAGCAGCGTAGTAAGTGTCACTTTGACTTTAATCAAAAATAACCAGCTACTATTAGTTTTACCTAATTTCGTTCACGTGACATAATTCGCTTACGATTTTCGCTTACCATGTGGGGCTACACACATGAGAATTAAGAACGACAACTTCAACAGACTATTAATAAAGTTTTGAAATATGCAAATATTAATGGGTTTACATTTTCAGAAGCAAAAACACCATGTGAACACTTTTGTAGAATGCGAAATCTTCACCCTGAACCTGGCATGTATCTTAATAATTTTCATATTCCCGTTAAAACAGAAATGAAGTTTCTTGGAAATATTCCAAGTTAAACTTTTTACCACACATTAAATATTGAAGAAAAAGTTGCAGCAAAAAATTAAACTTACTGAAAGTTCTACCCCACACATCCTGGGGAGAAGATGCCGATTCAATGTTTAAAATTTACCGTCCTATAATTCGCTCGAAACTAGATTACGGATCAATAATTTATATGCATGCTCGCAAATCTGTACTGCGTTATCCAGATTTTATTCATAATGAGGATCTGGAGATTCCAACAGCAGTCTTCCGAAAATCCCCATTAAAAGTCTATACACCCTACCCCATGTGCCATCCCTACGAGTGAAACGAAATAAATTAGCACTTAATTATTATTTTCGTAGTTATTATTTTAATGTAAAAAGTCTTCCTTAACACGCATTATGCAAAGATTTTATCATCGGTCTATGAAACGCTTTTTATCCATGGACCAGCCTCAACTCCAACTTTTGGATTGAGTGTGAAGCAGATTTTATAGAATTTAAAAATTCTAATAGTTTATCATCATCGACTTCACTCCGCCATAGCTGACTATACCCTTTCATATGATTGATATTTTCGGAGATTTAACAAAGGAATTCCCTTCGCTTGTTATATATCAGAAGAAGTATTATATGAGGATTTTAAATTGTTATTTACCGATGGCTCTAAGGTGGCTAATCACGTGGCTTCTGAAGGCATCTCACATAATGTAGTTTTCACTAGGACGCTGCATTATGCAAGTACCATTTTCACCTCTGAATGCCATCCTATTTACTTAGCTTCAAACTACATCCTACTCAAAATCATCGCAATTGGATGATTTATTCCGATTCTAAAAGTTGTTTGGAAGCCTTTGGCAACCATATTCTCGACCTGCATTTAATCGCAATTCATATTTTAAAACTTTCAATTGATCATAATGACAAGGGTTTCAAAATTTTATTCTCCTTGATTCTTGAGCATGTTGGAATACCTGGTAACAAACAGCTGATCTTGCAGCAAAATCTACTCAAAATCTTTCCAATCGACTTGTTCCTCCCTCTGATGTTATTGTAGACAATAAAGAAAACATCTCACCAATTGGCAGACTGAATGAGGTAGAGAAATTGTTGCATGGAATTAAATCACCCCTTTTAAAAGAATTAATAATTGTTGGAAAATTGAATAACTAATAAACAGATTACAAATTGACCACACACGATTAACTCATAAACCCTTTCTACTAAATGAGCCAGCGCCTGTTTGCTCAGCTCGCAAAGAACCCTAACCGTTAAACATATCTTAATCCAGTGTACTAAATTGAAAATAGAGCGACATACGTATTCTAATTGAGCCTTTCCTAATTTATTTACCTTACTTGGTGAAATTCCACATCGAAATCTTACTTTTTAAAAGACACTGAATTGTTCTCTGTAGCATAAATCATGGTTTTATATTAACCAAGTGCTCAGCGCACTCAGAAATCTTACTTACTCTTCAAAAGTCACTGAATTGTTATCTGTAACATAAATCATGGTTTTATATTAACCAAATGCTCAGCGCGGCATAGCCGTTTTTGGTTTTTTTCCTAGGAAACAATAACTAACTCATCACATACGCTGACTACTGCCAACCACTTATGGTGAAAGTTGAATTAGGGTTTTTTAAGTAACCGTATTTCTCATTTATACCAGCAAATATTGACACTCACTAATGGTGAATTTTAAATATATAGGATATTTTTAAAATTTAATTTTTTAGCAACTATTCGACCGATTTCGTTCAAATTTTGTATTTTGTTTTATAAAATGGTGTAAAAATTTGCATCACTTACAATTTAATTTTTTTTTAAAATTTGTATTATCAAATCTGTATAAATAAAGCCAAACATTTGTGTATGTGTGCTTACATTATACAAGTCCGTAATTCTAAAGCAATCTGGACCAAATTTTGTGTAAATACGTTAGAAGAAACGGTGAATAAAATGTCTACTTTAATATTCCTTCTTACCCCTGGTTTAAAAGCTACATTTCATAGAAAGAGTTTTCCTTTGAATTCGATAAATATTTTATGATATGAGTAATTTCCTAGCTGTCAACTCTAATCAATTGAAAAATAGTTTTATTGCTCGTTTTTTTATGAATTATTTATCTTATCTCTCTTACGTCTGGTTATTACAGGTAAAATCAACGTTAATAATTTCGTAACGTATGGTGACTACGTCTCAGAATTCGTATTTTAAATGGCATACGGAATCACGTGCTTCTTATATTTATGCTTTTAAAGCGCGTTTCTAAAAACTTTAATAATGGAAACTCAACAAGAACTAATGAAATAACATAAAAGTTATCTAATAAGCAAAGGGAAAATTGCTGTAAATTCTGAATATTATCGGTTAAATGATACCATATGTATAGTTAGCTTTCCTTTTATTGAGTTAAACTTGAACTCATATTATGGTAATTCTAATAGTATGAAGCTACACCGGAATTTACATCTGCACCCGGCTTACACCGACCACAGAGCTGACATAAAATATCCCATGTGGTATACGGATCAAACCCCTTGCGGTCAGACTAACCATGGGAGGTCTTAGCGGTTTCCCTCTCCATGTAACGCAAATGCGGGTTAGTTCCGTCAAAAAGTCCTCCAGAAAGGCAAATTTCTTTCAATACTTGATCCAGCAGTTGCCTTTTCTTCCATAGTATTTCGCTTTAAACTTCTGCAGAGTCGTGCTTTGGTAGTCGTATACTCAAAAGATGGGGTTGGCAGTTCAACCACTTTTATAAAATAAAATTACAAATTTTTGGGAGAAATTTGCTTTACTGGAGGACTGCTGATCCAAGAGTTAACTTGTCTTCTGGATCAGGTTCAAAATTACAAGGTTGCAGAGATGAACTCAAAATTGGGTTGGCTGTTCAACGACGGTTGTAAAAAAAAATAGAAGTATTTTATAAAGATATATATGCAGTATGTAGCGTTCTCTACTTTTTTCAACCTGTGCCATTAAACATTTTAATCAATCAGTATGCTACCTTATTTAAATTATAGGCCAGTTTCATTTATGTTAAGGTTAAGGATATGGAGACTGAGTGTATGGAGTCTTCCATGACACGGAGGGAGCTTCTGATATCCGTTCCAATTTTTTTTTTACATTTTGAGAATATTTTTTGACAGTTAAAGGTTGTAAATCGTTCAACGATTGATTCTATTCATAATTTTACGCGAATCCATAGTTTAAAGATTTCTTTCAGAAAATTAAACTACCATAAAAAAGTTAAAATCTTAAAAAACAATAAAATACAATTCTCGAATTTCACAAACTTGGGAACATTCTTACTGATTTTGATATGATCGTCTTACTTTAAATGCACCAATCAAATTTGCAAAATCTAAATGTATACCTAATATACATTTTTATTTTCATGAAAAAGTGACAAAAATACTATTGGCGTTGCGTTGGAAAATATTTTCTATTAAAAAGAAAAGTTAGTTTTCAAAACACAAGAGTTCCACCCAAAATCTTAACGATTTATTTTAAACAAAGAGAGACGGAAAAAATGTCTCCTCTCTTCTCTTAAAGTGAAAATAAAATTAAAGTTTTCAGTTAGTTTTCGAACGGCATCGTCAAAACGGTTTGGAACGGGCACCAAAAGCTCCGTGTTGGGGAACCCATTTTTATACCTGTCTTCTGTGATTTGTGGTTCACTCTGATTCATGGGCAGCAATAATGAGCTGTACGCGTCCTATTCTTTTGATAATTTTGGACCATTGTTGAACCATACTGTTACGGTTTGTTGCAGCCTTAATATTTGGCCAAGCTGAACCATAATATCACGCAGTTTGAACTAATTTTAAACTTGGTCGATGCAATAGTTCTACCTGAACGAAAATTAAGTTTCTTGCAATAATGATGACTTATTGAAATAACAGCAAGTTTGGAATGCAATGTTAAGCTGATTTTTCTGAATGTGTAGTTTAAAAACAAGACGAAAATGGGCTGTTGGGGATGATTGAGGCTGTTTTTCTAGTATTCAAATAAGATTTTCATTTATAGCTGTGGGTTGGTGCGTGATTGGTTTCACATATTCGTCTGCTCTTCTGATTAAACTATTTAGACCATATTATTTAAAATGTTACAACACCTTCCTCTGATTTTGAGTTTCCTAAATCCTAGTTTGTCTAAAAAAATAATATGTGTTAATTCAGAGAAGTGACGTTTTTGTTTTCGATTTCTTAATTTGTATTTTTCTTCAAAAGTACTTACTGATGAAGACCTGCTGCCAAGTACGCCAGCTGACGTCTTTAATCATAGAACAATAGTTGTCATTTTCGGAAAACATTTAATGGTATTGTTTTTGTAAAGCACATTGTCCTTTTAAATTATAAAATGTCTTCTTTTTACAACTGTTGCTAAAAGTATTATATAAGAATTTGGTCTAGAATCATTTGATAAAAAAACATGAAAAAAAGTGGTTTTTTAATGAAAGAAAGCGTCCTTACAAACATCAACTTCTGTAATTTTTATAAAACGGATGATAAAAACAGATGTTCTTATATTATGTATGTTAGTTTCTTTTAATTAGAGAACAATGGGTGTTTTTCTCTTGCCGATTTTCATGGTATATAAATAAGAGACCTCACTCTAAGCTAAACAAAAAATACTACAGTAAGAAAAATACAGCTATGCATTCAGCACTTCAAATTGCTTTTCTTCTTTCTGTGTTGTGTGTAAGTAAAATATTTACCATAGATTATGGGTTTATTTTTTAAATAAATCCGTTATGTTTATGTTTAGAAAAAAAGTGTAAAAATTAGTTAACATTTCTAATTACTTAAGTTTGTAAAATAGAACTTTTAGAATATTCAGTTTAGTTGAATCACTATGGATGTATATATGTTATAGTAAATTTTCAAAATAAAAAAGTACTTAAAAAATAGGAATTTTATCTTTGTATTGAAATGCATATTTTTAACTTGAGAACTACTATTATTAAATTAAAGTTTTAGTACTTAAAATATTCATTTTAACACTGAGAGCAACAGTTAAAAACTGGTTAGTTAAAAAAATGAATCCCTAGTTTTCTTAACGCACATCCTTGACAATCAAAATTACTGTGTTGTAACGTTATTTTGTCATTATAATTACTTTAGTATTTCGCTTACTGTGGTACCCTTTAAATTGCCTATCTAAAGTGAAATTTCTTTCCATATTAAAGCGCCATTACTGTTGTTTTAGGTGTTCAACTTTACGTTACATATTATTTTGATGCGCAAAACCAAAAATATTTAGGAACTTGAAATTACGAAGTTGCAGAAAGATGAACAAGGAGTACGATGGAGTTTTAATAATTGACATTCGATAATTATCTCGAGATTTACTAACTGTTAAACTTACTGTAACAAATTACTGAACCACTCTGTACTCCACGGAAATGATTACAGACTTGACATTGGCAAACTAAAGGGTTCAGTTTCATGTATGTACTTATCGTTAAGGGGTTTTTTTCTTCTTAAGTTCTATCTTTTTTTTGAAAAAAATTACAATTTTAAAAGCAGTTTAGAGTTTTTATATTGTTTTTTCTTGAAATATTGACAATTTATTGTTGTAATATCTCTCACGAGATCTTCATTTTATTAGCTCGTGATTTGATAACAAAAGTAACAAAATTTAATATAAATTAAGAATAAGAAAATGTGAGATCCTGTGTTGCCAGATATAAATCTCAACATATGAATCAAAATTTTTAAAACATAAAAGGATCAAAGATAAAAAATTGTTTCCAATTTGAACTGTTATCTGATACTAGGCTATCATTATATATTGTTGACAAGTAAATTTAATTCTCACTTATTATCTCTCTTGTGACGAAAATTCTGTGTTTGCAAGTTTAAATATTTTTCCTTCAATTATAGTTGATTATATTTCAAATCTAGGTAACCGTTCATTTTATTCCGATTAACATGCACATAAAATGGCAATAATTATAAGTTTAATAAGCAAAAGGATTTTTTTGTCATCAAGCTTAAGGAAAAAAACCAATGATGAATGAGAAGCAATTACGGATTTCTATGAGTAGAGCCTCCTAGTTATATAAATTATATATAAATATGTATGTAAATTTATACATTATATAAATAGGTCACTTATATTTCGTGATCTCAACGCACGAATACGCCATCTGGGGAAAAGAACGGTTCCATGGCGTCGCCCTCTTTCCTTCCCTTTCCTTCGCTTCTCAATTGTATGGGAATGTTCTACGATATTTTCCTCCTTCTTAATATTTTCGTATTTATTTCTCTCAAATATTTTTCAAAATTTATATGACGCTTTCATTTGGAATTATGTTCAATGTAGTTTTCAGTTCCATGTAGTTTCCTAATTTTAAAGTATTTAATCCATTTTAAAATTAAGACAGAAACTTTCCTACTTCCTTCTCCTATGACTCTCCATACGCTAATGGTGAAAGCAGGTGAAGTTTTGTCATAGGTAGAGAGTTCTTCTCTACGCCACCTCCAGCCCATTTCGATCACCTATAAGTAGTAGCAAAATTAATCTTCATATTTTAGATTATTACATTTATAGTATGCCATACAGAATGTTATTTAATTGCTTTTCTTTTAGGCAGTTTCATCTGCTCAAGATATCGGTCAGTATCAGCCTTTAACCCCTTCTGCTGCAGAAGTTGAAATATGCAAAAACAATGCAAACGGAAAGGACATCAGATTGATCTTTAAGGTAAACTACACTAGTTAATTGCAAATAATATAAAACTGCTAACACAAACTTCTGAGGATAGTTTTATTTTAAAATGAAGTGTTCACAGGGTAACTAAAATTATCGAATTAAAGGCTAATATTTCTCGCATCACTCTAATGTAAAACGTACTGATATTCAAATTAGAGTTTACTGTCTTTGATATGTGGCGTATAACCACCACTACAAATATTAAATACCAATTCCCTAGCATATAAAACATGTAACAAACTTAATTCCTTCTAGAGTTACCTATTGATAGCTGAAGGTTGACATAGTCGATAATTAAATAACCTAATTGGTGACCTACGTTCGTTATACGAACACGCCAATGGTGGATGGTCCACATTGAATAGTTGATCTGCTTACAAAATATCGCTCAAAAATCCAGTGAAGCAAATAAATTCTCCAGACCAATAAATAAATAAAAGAATAAAAAATAATGAACGAAAAAAATAAAATAATAAATAAAAAAAGCCAGCATTAATCAACTACTGGTATTCGTTCACATGGAATTCTGTCACAGATAAAATTCTGGTATTGTGGTAAAGTGACGTAACTACCACTATAAATATTAAACACCGAGTCCTTAATAATTAAGATATATTAACTTGATTCCAACTTGAGGTAAGTTTTGATAGATGCAGGTTGACATAATCTATAATTATATTCCCTTACATTTACAGAAGTAGTAGGCTTTGTCCTTGCTGCCTTTGCTTTCTAATCCATGTTGTTTATTCACGGTTATCTTTGTTTCTCCATATGAAAAAGAAATTTTCAGTGAAGTTATGTTTAAATGTACGAATTTTAGTTAATTGTCACTCATAATACTATAGCGTTCATCTTTTCATTATCTTGCAACTGAAAATCTTACTCGCTTTAAGTCGGCAATAAGGCAGCTTCTTCTATAGATATAGAAGTCATGGATGAAAACATCTGCGGACAACATTCTGCAATTTCACTAAATTCGGAATCTGTAAATTTGCTATTTGCAAATAAATTGATAAATTTGTAATTTCGTTTGCGAAAAATCTTTAAATGATACTTACTTTGCAAGAAAACGTCAGTAAACTCTAATGACCGTTGCTTCCTGTAAACTGTTAAGAAGGCGCCTAAAAACTATATTTCTTTTTAGATCCCCGTTTTATAGCAATTAATATTAGGATTATTTTATTTAAACGTTGTCTCCAGTGAATGCAATTAAATAAATGTAATTTAATATGGATATCTTGCGTGCTACCGAAATGCATGTTACGTGACACTTAGTGGCACGCATGCTGTATGTTTGCTATCTCTGATCTAATTCTTCAATTGTAAATTCAACTCGGGGATAATCTTTTCTGGGGCGATGAGCTAAAACAATTACCCACTTATTTGCAAAAATATTGTTAAACATTAGAATTAAATTAAATTTTATCTTTAAAAACTAGGTGACTTTCGCCCATTTACTTTAAATTTTGATAAATTAAATTCATCTTCATTTTGGACGGGCAAGAATTACCAAACGAGCTTATTGCTCTTCTTGACTGAAAGTTTGATTCTAATTTTTCTTTCCTGAAAGAGATTAAGACCTACTATTCTCCAAAAGTGAATGTTTGAATGAAAATAACTAGGATGATCATTACATTGAGAGTAACACTACAAAAATTACCCAGTAGTTATAAGACTATCAGGCACGTAACATGCATTTACTTTTTTCTTAAAGTAAATGCATGTTTCACAACACCTAGGTAATTCACTGATCGTTCCTAGATCGTCGTTTACGTCTAGCTCTGTAAATTTGATTCCGGCTCTAGCACAATTTTTACTAAGTTTCCAATTTAGGTTTAACTGTTTTCAAGAAATTTAATTCGAAATCACAAAGTCATGTATTTTTTTTACATTAAAGTGCAAAATATTCAGCTTTATAAAAGGTTTCTGAAATTGCAGAAAATATGGAATACTTGTTACATCCAGTGCTGGTATGAAGGGGAGAGTAAGGCTCAAACCTTCCTGACACCCAAAGGAACTCCTTGCTGTGATATTGGTGGTGGCCTTCCAACAGGGGTAAGCTTTTACAGTTATAGCCTAGTTATTTTGATTTTAAAATTTTTTTTAATTTAATATATTTAAAACATAGTTAAGCCAAAACTCACACCTTTCAACAAAGGTAAATGAGTTTTTATGAAAAGTTTTTACTTCAACAATAATTATATAATATTTATCTAGGTATAAGTGCGATATAGTCAACAAATCCAACCTAACTAGCTATTTTTTTAATTCAAAAATTTATGAACCTCTTTTTGGAAACTTTTACTACGATAAACCCATTCAAATTCTAATAGTGTCAAACGTTTCGAAAGTTGAATATACTTTTAATTATTAGATCATTGTACAGCAGTTTTAATTCAAAATTTCCTCTTCAATCAGTAAATTTTATGGAAATAAATATGGAGGTGAATTTTTCGCTGTTAAATTATTTTTTGCTCTGAATTTAATATTAAAATTAAACTCCGCAATTTACCGTTTTCCTACATTTACCCCAGACATTAACAATTCCACATTACATTACCATATAAACAATGGTTGAAAATCAAAATGAAAATATTAATTTATGTTAACGATCAATTAATTGTTTTCCAAAAATCGAGTACACAATCATGTATTTGCCAAAATTTATAAATAATAAATTTCGGGATTATAATTCATGCATTAATCACCAAAAGTTAATTTGTCTTAAGTTCTAGGTAGTAAAATTTAGACAGAGTCTCAGATTTTTATTATCAGCATAGTGTTAGGCTAAGTGTGCCCTTTTTTTCTTGCCTTAGCGTCAAAAATATGCAAATTGATTTTTGCCGATTTACTTCTCACATAAAAAAAAATGTCCTTCAAAAAGTTTTGACTCAGTATATAGCACTTTCTTGGCATAGTAGAAACTACAAATCAGATTACATATTACCACCATAATTTGCATTTAAAAATTATGTAAAATTGACCATCGTGCACCATATTTATTTCGTGTATTTTCTTAAAATAATTAATATCGGGTTTACAATCTGAATATACCGGTAAAGAGTTAATGTTTAGTCTCAGGCTGTAAAATCTTACCAAACTCACAATTTCACTCTTGCATGACTACATTAATGCATACCTTGCATTGGCAATAAATAAATAAATATTCCAAGGTTTCTAGTTTTAAAAAAATTAAAATTTTTTAAAGACGATTTAGTCCCAAACAAGAATTTAGTTCCTGATTTTAACACGTTAAACTGGCTTTCACATTTTATTTTACTTTATTTATTGATTTTTTTTAATTATTATTGCTATTTTTATTTTTGAAATTTTTCTCAAATTTTGTATCTAGTAGAAAATAATCAATAAATCGCATTTGCTTACATCATATTATTTAAATATTATTTTTCATTTTCTTATTTCTTAGACATGTGACAATGGGAGATGTGTTCTCTTCTGGCAACAACTGATGCTTTAATTGATTGTTGATTGAGATTTCTGACAATTGAATGTATATCGCATTTTTGAAACAAAATAAATGAATAAATAAAATTCTAGAGATGTTTGTTCCTTTTAGAACTGTTGTTGGTTTCAAAATTCAATTCATTTGTGGCTTAAACAGGAGAGATGAGACACATTATAAGGAATGAAAATTGCTTTAGCAACCCGTCTATGAAAATGTCTCTATTATTTACACATTTGTGCGACTTTGAACTGGCCCTTTTTTAATCTTAATTAGTTTAATTAGTTTTTTTAAATCTTTATCTCTTAGATAGTTTTTTGTTTTTTAAAATTTTTTCTCCGATATTGTTTCTAAATAAGTTCAGTTAGGGCTATTTTATCCTAATTTCTGTGGTTTGGCGACAAACACGACAAGTTTGCTAAGATCGCCAAATTATCAAATTATTATAAAGTTCTATTTGAATATAGTTTTTGATAATAGTTGTTAGAAAACGCAAAATTAGACAAAGCATTAAATTGTTTTTATAAATAAATGCTCAAGATCTACCAGTTCATTAAGGGGAGGTGCCACTAGCGGGGTAAGATGACGTTTCCGAACATGGGTGTCTCTGCAATTTTTTATCCTTGTCGTCACCTCCCATCCAAGTTTGAACCATCGGCATAGCAAATGTTACGACTGTATGATTAAAAATCACGAACTGTCGATATTTCTTTCGTGATTTTCCACATTTATTTACTCTGATTTGAAATTTTTCTAGTTCACATCTTATTATTCATTTCATACCCCCTTTTATTAAAGACCAACCAATTTTAATCCTTTACCAAAGCATCGGTATTATTATTAAACATGTTTTAATTGACAGCAGACTATTCAAACATTTAGAAATGGTAGCATTTACATTGCATGCAAAAAAAACTAGCCAATCAGTTCCTCGTTCCCATTTGGGTTTTTTTTTCGCATGCAGATTGAATGTTCCCTTTCGCAGCTTTTATGCTGATCTTGAATCCTTGCTCAGTGACTCTATACATAACACTTTCATGAAATTAATATAAACAATAGAAATATATTCTCAACTTTAAGAAAGTGCGTAACTTCTGAACTTAGTGACTATTGCAATGCGGCCATTTTCGATTCTTGTGGCATTACATTCCATCAACCAACCAATTCATCAGATTTTAATACAATTTACTTCGAACTTTAAACTTGTTCATTTGATTTTAAACCATTTACTTTACTTTCAGACTATTTGCTTTGATTTTACTCAATTTAATTTATGCCAGCGGCAATGCTAGCATTAAAACATTATCAAAGGTGCGACAGCCTGTTTATAGCATTTTATAATGGGTTAAATAATATTTTTTATCGCTAATCCTGGCGCTATTTTAAAACTAAAAATAATTCCTGTTTATACTTGGAATATAGCACCTTTATGAAATAATCAAGTATAAATCACTATATGCTACTTACATTTTTTATGATTCACTGCAAGCTGCACTCTTTATAGATTGTTTAGATAAGGGAAGAGTTTATAATAGTAGCTTGAATTACTATACGTATATTAATTAACCATTAATAATGCGACGGTATGATTCAGTATTTCTTTGTTTTGAAAAGAACTAATACTTATATGGGATGTTGGTAGGGCGTTGAGCTCATTTCCAAGAGGTCATGAGTGCGATCTCCGCCTACCGAAGACTTGTGTTGTAAATGGTGACTTATGGGCACTTTAAATCTCTCTTATCACAGAGTCCTCCATGGTCTCAAAGTAAATCCTACTTCTGGGGGTATTGAAATGGAGATTAATCGTTTTCTGGTTCAGGTTAAAGTTACGATCTGTGGCTGAATTAATGGATGTATGAATGTGCACGCCTTATAAGCGGGTTGAGACGTGTGTGTGGATGAAGTCGCAATCTTGGCCATAGATGGTGCCACTGAAAAACAAGAAACACACCCTCTGCCTTAAATATGTTTGGCTTCACCAAGTGGGCTTACTCAATTGGAAAACGACATTAGTAACGACAAAAACTTATATGGACAAAAATAGCTCGTGATAAATTTTTAAACCATAAGAAAGCAAATTTTCTTTAAAAAAGTTTACTCAAACATGTCATACACAATGCAAACTACTGAAAACTATTGTTCGTTTATGTGCTGCGTCTCGGATCATGGGATCCTGGGGTACCTGTCTGCTTCCTCATATGAGTGTGGCGCCCAAGGGGGCATTTTCTTCTCGGAGTTGGTAGGCTGCGTGCTCTTTGGCCCATGCTTCACTGTAGACGAGTGGAAGGAGGTCAGTAGAGTGCCCCTGAACTCTGATAGTTTTGGCGGATCCACGCTTTCTTGGTGTAGTGCTATACCTGGAACTACCCTGGGGCTGAAGATTTCAGAGCCAGTGTGTTTGTTCCCCTTTTTGGGCTCGATGGTGGGCATGGGAGTGTCCAGTTGAACGTTTCCGTGTACTATGGATACAACCAATAACACACACAGCTTCGAAAAGACGACATATAAATTTGATTTATCAAAATGCTCAAACTATGAAACAGCAAAAGCCAGATTCCTCATTCTCAATTCTAAAGACAAAAAACTTAGTACAATATCACCCTTTATTGTGCAAAAATTCTTAGAATCCCACATTGGAAATCCTAAAAATGTCCGTCAGTTGCCTTTCGGTGACTTACTAGTGGAAACCAGTTCTAATAAGCAAACCATGTCACTTCTAAAAACGCATAAAATTGATAACTTATCCATAACCGTTACTCCTCACAATTCTCTCAATATATCAAAAGGTGTTATTACAGTCAAATCTCTACAAAACCTCTTAGTCAGCGAAATCGTTGAAGGTCTTTCTGATCAAGGAGTCGTTGACGCAAGACACATAACCATTAAGAAAGGCCAAGAAATATTTACCACACAGCATTTAATACTAACATTTAGCTCCCCCACTCTACCAACTGATATTAAAGAGGGGACTTAAACTGCAAAGTACGCCCCTATGTTCCAAATCCTCTCAGGTGCTTTAAATGCCAAAAGTTTGGACATTCAACTAACAACTGCAGTGGTAAAAAAACTTGCTCCCGCTGCAGTGAAACCGGACATATATTAAAAACCTGTACCCTACCCGAAAAATGTATAAATTGTTCTGATTCTCACTCTGAAAATTTTCGCCACTGCCCAAAGTGGAAACAGGAAAAACAAATAATCAACATTAAAGTGACTCAAAATCTATCATACACTGAAGCTAAAGCCAAATTTCTAAGTTCCCAACCAAACCCTAATCTCTCATATGCTGCAGTCGTAACCAATAATAAACCGAAGAAATCAATAGGCATACAATGTGATGTAAATGAAATTGAACCAAATAATAATCTCAAAGCGCTAACTAGACAGGAATCCAACACATTAAAAGTTCCATACCAACCACCTGCACACACGCAGAAATCTGAAATATCCATAATCCCTTCGACATCTTCGCAAATCACTTCTGAAAACCAAAAATACTTGAAATTAACTCCACAATTGATAACTAAGTTACAACAAAAACTTACTCAATCTCCACTCGTAAGCAAACAGAAATATGTGCCAGAAAGTAGGCAGAATAAATTTCACAAAATTAGGGTAAAACAGTAAAAAAAATAAAGAACAGCAATCGCAATCTGATGCAATGAGCACAGATGACGATAACGCAATAGAAATTCAGAATCTACAAATGCAAACTGAGGATGGGATGGAGGCTCCTCCAAAACTTTATCCAAAAAATACGAAACATAAAATTCGAAACAAATAAATGGACAAAATAATATCTTGGAATTGTAGAAGTTATAACACAACAAAACCAGACATTATAGATATCATAAATATATTTTCCCCATGTTGTATTTGCCTCCAAGAAACCTCATTAAGACCTTCTTAAACAACCAAATTTCGCGGTTAGGAAAGATAACGAAAGTAATAACAAAGCCTGTGGCGGAGTCATGATTATGACTTCTAACATGTGTCCCTCCAACAAAATTATTTTAAATACTCCTTTACAGGCAGTTGCTGTTCAATTAAGTATTCATTGTTTATTGACAGTTTGCTGCATCTATCTTCCACCTCGTGATATTGTACTTCAAGCTGACCTTGACGATTTAATCACACAGCTTCCTCAACCTTTTATTACATTAGGAGATTTTAATGGCCCTAATCCCATCTGGGGAAGTTCCGACTTAAATAATAGAGGACAATTGATTGAAAAACTAATAGATGATCATTTACTCAGTCTTATCAATACAGGTGAGAATACTTATTTTCACGCTCCATCACAGTCATTCCATGTCATCGATCTAGCAATTTGCAGCCCATCTCAATATCCATATTGGTCATTTAATGTTCATGATAACCTATTTAATAGCGATCACTTTCCCTTAATCCTAACTCATACAGGCAACAGTAATATCCAAATCTCCAGAACGCCACGACTTAAAATGAATACAACTAACTGGGACAAATTTACATTAGCCATAAAACTAACAGATGACTTGTTAAATATAACTGATATAAATAATGCTGTAGAACATTTCACATCCGAAATACTTGAAGCAGCAACACTGAATACAAAAATGACATCAACTAAAATCCAGAAACATCATAAGCCGTGGTGGAATGAAGACTGCAAAAAGGCCCAAAAAGAGCAAAAACAACGTTGGCAAATTTTTCGCAGACACCCAACGACAGATAACCTCATAGCTTTCCTTTCAAAAAAGCTCGGTCTATGGCTCGTAGAATCCGGAGAAATGCCCAAAAAGCTTCCTGGCAGAACTATATATCCTCAATAAAATATAACACACCAACAATCGACATCTGAAAAAAAATTAAAATTATATCTGGTAAGTACTCCGGACACAAAATACCTATTCTGAAAACTGATAATTCAACTCTATCACAAATCTCTGATATTGCAAACGCTCTCGCAGCTGCTTTTTCAGAAGTTTCTAGCTCTTCTAATTATAAAGAACCTTTCGCCTCTTTTAATAGAAAAATAGAAAAAATCAAACTAACACCGAAGGAAGACACTGACAATAATTATAACAAACCTTTTGCAATGAACGAGCTCCAATATGTTTTGAAGAATACACATCCCTCAACACCTGGTCCTGATGAAATCCATTATTCAATGCTTCAAAATTTGCCGTATAAAGCTTTAACTTTCCTACTGCAACTATATAACCGAATCTGAACAGAAAGAGTTTTCCCGCGAAATTGGTCAACTGCATACATAATCCCTATCTTAAAACCAGGCAAAAACCCAGAGGAAACTGCGAGCTATAGACCAATTGCTTTAACCAGCTGCCTTTGTAAACTTTTTGAGAAGATGGTTAACAAACGCTTAATATTTTTACTTGAATCTCGAAATAAACTATCTCCATTTCAAAGCGGATTCCGCAGAGGACGCAGCACTAATGATAATCTATTAAAACTGGAAACCGATATTCGTCATGCCTTTTTGAAAAAACAGCACCTAGTCTCAATATTCTTTGATATGGAAAAAGCCTATGACAGGACTTGGCGGTATGGAATACTGCGGGATTTAATCAAATGTGACATTGGAGGCAACTTGTTCTATTTTATTAAAAACTTTTTATCTAACAGAACTTTTAGAGTTAAAATTAATTTCATTTTATCAGATGTTTTCCCTCAGGAGCAAGGTGTTCCTCAGGGAAGTGTTTTAAGCGTGACACTCTTCATCTTGAAAATTAATGGCATGCTGCATCAACTTCCTACAACTGTCTATGGCGAGTTATTTGCAGATGAATTTAGAACATCATGCCGATCTGTCAATATGTCACTAATTGAACGTCAATTGCAAATGTCTGTAAATAAAATTCTAAAATGGGCAAATGAAAACGATTTTACATTTTCTTCACGAAAAACTCATTGTGTTCATTTCTGTCGAAAACGTGGTATGCATCTTCATCCTGAGATAACTCTTAATAATAACGTGATTCCTGTTTTAGCAGAAACCAAGTATCTAGGCATGATTTTCGATGAAAAGCTTACATTCAAACCACACATATTTTATATTAAGAAAAAATGTTCCCACTCCATGAACATACTCAAGATCTTCACTGACTGTTCGTGGGGGGGCCGATATGACTCCACTGCTTAAAATTTACCGTGCTGTTATCTGTTCAAAACTAGACTATGGTATTCCCGTATATTCTTCAGCGCGTCCATCTGTTCTGAAATATATCGACACAATCCATCATCAAGGTCTTAGAATATCGTCGGGCGCATTTCGAACGTCGCCAGTTGAGAGTCTGTATGCGTTATGTTCAGAACCAACTCTTCATTTTCGTCGCTCGCAACTTTCCTTGGATTATTATTTTAAAATCAAATCAAATCCACATCATCCGTTATATTCAAGTGTCATCAATCCGCAATTTACCATCCATTTCTCTTCACGTCCATCCTGCATTCCTTCATTTGGGATAAGAATCATTAATATTTTAGATGATCTTAACATTTTCAATTTCGCAGCTTTTACTAATATAGAGACTATCGCACCTTGGGTCGATGTCTCGATGTGTGTCTTAGATATCTATAATAATTTCAAAAAATGTGACACCTGCTCTAGCGTTTTTATCCAAAAATTTTATGAACATCGTAATTATTATAATGATTTTAAACCAATTTTTACTGATGGTTCAAAACATGATAGCCATGTCGGCTGTGGTGTGGTTATTGAGCATTGTACTATCTCTGAACAATTGCACCAAGACTCATCAATTTTACTGCAGAATGCTATGCTATTTTGCTAGCTCTTAATTTTATCTCTGACCAAGCTCATCGCAAGTGGATAATTTATACTGACTCTCGCAGTTTTATTTCAAGTATTCCTCACATCGAGCGAAACCCCATGATTTCTAAAATTCAAAATTGCTTCAAAAAATTGCGTGATGGAGGGTTCAACATCTACTTTTGTTGGATACCATCACATATTGGCATACGCGGAAACGACCTAGCAGATAAACGGCTAAAACCACCCAAAATGTAAGCAATAACCTTATAAAATCTCTTGATTTTAAACGAATATGTAAAGCTACAGTACACAAGGTTTGGAAAGAACACTGGAATAAACAAATTAATAATTAACTGCACGAAATTTATCCTAATCTTGACAACTTCAAAACAATAGATATTGATCGCAAAACACAGGTTATTATTAATAGACTGCGCATTGGTCATTCCCGTTTTACTCACAAGCATTTACTAAAATCTGAACCTGCACCTAGTTGTTCTCTATGTCGTGTAAACAATACTATTAAACATATTTTAACAGACTGCGAACGATTCAAACATCTGAGAAATAAACTTTTTGGCAGCTTTTATCCTAATCTTCAATTTTTACTTGGTGACCCTATGCATCACAACCTTTTAAAGTTTATTAAAACTATAGGACTATATCCTCAGCTTTAAAATAATACAGTAATTTAACTTAGATACCGACTTTTAGCCTAGTGCCTGGCGCAGCATAGCCACTTCTGGCTCTTGTGCATATAAAACCCAACCAACCAACCAACCAACTATTGTTCGTTCACCCTCTGCTGCGAAACAAAAAAGGAAAAAGAAAGTTCAAATTTTTAAATTTGTTAAAATAATTGTAGAATTTTTATGAGTGAGATAGGAAGCTACGATAAAATTTTCCTTAGCTTACATTGTAAAATTTCTTTAATTTTAGTTTTTGCCAGATATTTCTTTTTCTCCTCCAGCGCGGATTTGTGAAATCTTTTCACAATATAATTTTAAAACATTCTCGCTGTTTTTCTGATTAAATTCTTTATATTTCCTAAAATTCTTACTGAAAGAATTAACCTGAATTTGTTAGTTGCGTCTTCTTTTAACTAGATAAGAAAAATATTTAAAAACTTCTATTCAAAAAATTTTATTAAAAACTTCCTTAGCTCCCCAAAAATTATGAGGATGGTAATTTAAGTTGATATGTTTCCAGGGCTCATAAAAAGGAGCTGATACTCAAAACTTGCCTGTAATAAATGTGGAAAATGAAAATGGTTTTGAAGCATAAAATATGGAGTTGCCAATGAAAAATGGTAAATAAAGGTAAAAACTAAAACTACAAAAATCGTGAGTGCTGAAAAAAAAACTGAAAAATAAATAAAAACTATTAAAAAAATTATAAAAACCGCTGTGGCAGAGAGAGGCATATCAAAGCAATATGCATTTCTTTGCGATATGAAAAGGTAGTAAGGAACTCATGTCGTTTACAAGGAAATCAGCATTCACATGAATGAAAAAAGATTCAAGGGAATAAAGATTAGCTAATGTGACAGGGTCGGAAATAATTTTTGCTTCGAGATTCCGACAATGTACGGCAGTTGATGGTTCAGCGCATATCGGATAACGGACTTATTTATCGTGTTCTCTTTGTTCTAAATTTTAAAGTGTGTCAAGTTGATCCAATGTATCCAAAATCACTTTGGCAAGGCATGTGGTAAATACTCAGTGATCTTAAATACTGGTAAGAGTTTTAAGTGAATTAAATTTAATAGGGACATTAGTAAAAAGAAAAGTAACATCCATTTAGAGCATTGTTTTATTAGAGGGGGGAAGTTGAACTAGTTGGGGAAAAAAAACAGGGGCATTTTTTACTGTATTTACATCTTTAGAAGTTAGAGATGAGGTAGTACGAGATAAGTAGCGAGCAAATTTATAGCTCGAGGCATTAATTTTAGTTGCAATAAGTTTAAAATCAAGTTGCTGTTTGTAAACTTTAGGGATGTCAGAGAAACGAGTATTATTTGAAATAATTGGAATAACATTACATTTAGTATAGTCCGAGAGAATGCAAGAACATTTTATTCTATTTTGAATACCAGTAGAATGAGAAGTGGTAGAGGTATATTTTAAAGCAGTGCAAGGGCCAGAGGCCCACATATTCTCGACGTAATTTTGGTAATCAGATTTAAGAATAATAGCTTAAGATCAAAAACAATAAATCTTGAGAATGGACGCCTATTTTCGAGCGATTGAAACTCTTACTTCCATCTTCATCTTTTCTTCATTCCAAGTAAAACTTTTTCCAATACATTAAATATTTAAGAAAATGTTGTTGCAAAAAATTGAACTTACTAGAAGTTCTATCGAACACTTCCTGGGGAGAAGATACTTATTCGATGTTTGAAATTTATCGTCCCATAATCTGCTCGGAACAGATTAATAATTTATATGCTCGCTTATCATATAATATAATTAATATATAATATAATAATCATATAATATCATAATATAATGTAATATCATATAATTTATATCTAATATATAATATGATAGTAAATAATATGATAGTATAGCATATAATATAATTAAATGCATATATATTATCTATATATATTTGCATTAAATGCATTTATGTATAATATATATATGCATTTAATTTGTATGCTCGCAAATCTGGACTGCGTTATCCAGATTTTATTCCTAATGGGGGTCTAGGGATTCCAACAGGCGTCTTTCGAACATCCCCTATCAAAAGTACACCACGAATCAGCACTTCTAGTGGAATGAATTAAGTTAGCACTATTATTTTCATATAAAAAGTCATCCTTAACACTCATTATTTTCAAAGATTTTATCACTGGACTATGAAACGCTTTTCAATCATCGACCGGCCTCAATTCCGACGTTTGGATTGAGAGTGAAGCAGATTTTATCAAATTTGAAAATTGAAAAATTTAATAGTTTAACATCGACTTTTTTTCCACCATAGCTTACTATACCATACCTGCCAACTTTTACGCATTTGGCGTAAAATTTTATT